GGCGGATTGGATGGGAGGCCAGGTGTATTTGGCGGGAGTGGCTGTAGCTGCTGTTGCTGTTGAATCTGAGCACTGGCAGCGTTGGGACCTGTCGCATTGTTGGGCGAGGAAGATCCAGGTTGGAGGCCGGATGGATGATAGTTAGTAGGTGTAGTGATCAGAGGTGGCACTCCAGGGCCTGGTCCGTACAGGGGGTGGACGGGGGGTAGATGCGGAATAGTCGGGTGCGGGTGCCAATGATATGATTGAATTCCTAGATAGTGTTCTGGGACCAATATTGGGCCTAGCAACGCGATAAAATCCTCGTGGCTTAGTTCTGGCAATGGATTGTGATTGATAACGGTGCGCGATGCACTTTCGTCTATTTGGATAAACCATTTGGGTCGTAGGTGTTTGAGATTCGGGTTTCAGATAGGTAATTAGGGTTGACGACGCGCCAAATTCACAATAAGAGGTATAGGTTGGTTCCGTAATTGAAGGGGGAGGCGACAGGGTCGACGAGTTGAACAGGCGTAGTGTTGAATAAAGTACCCGGACGTATGTATTGATTGGATATGTGTAGTTAGTTGAGTCAGTTCATGTGATTGCGGAGGTGCGTAAGAAGAATGATGGGAGAGAGCGGCCCAAGGAAAGTGTTTCCAAGTTTGAAGCTAACGCACCACTTCGCAAAACAAAGGCGACCGGCACGCCCGCGGGATGAATCTTGCAAAATCTAGTTCTAATGCCTTCGAATTCTAGCTCGTGCATCAAGGCGCGCCCTGCCGCGTCCGAACCCAATGGCGACACGAGAGCGCATTCAACTGGGTCCACGGCGCCGCCAGAGTGCCATCTTTTCGCACCATTATTGTTACTATTGGTTGTATTATTATAACTTGACGGAGATGGTCGCGATGATGGGGTCGACAGGAGCGCGTTGGGACTGAATTGGGCGAGCAAAGAGAGGACGTTGACCGCTGAGCCGCCTCTTTGGGTCGTGATTTGTTTCGCACGTACATTTGTCGTTGAAGGCGTTTGCTTTGGGGCCTTAATCGCTTGGGTAGTAGAGTCCGTATTCCTGCCACCCGCATCGTCGTCGCTGTCGTGATACGCGGCCGTTGTTGCCGCTGGCTCGACGAGGGATGCTGGCACCGATATTGTATGTGTGATATAGACCGTGCCACATGCCAGAAATCTAGTGATATTTGGCGCAGACTGGGCGTTCTTGGAAGACATTGTTATGGACGCAGAGGTAGACGATGTGTTTACGGAGGGGACCTTGGGACAAGATCGAGTAGTCAGATGAAAGCGCAGAACGAAATGAAACCACTAACGGAAGTTGCGGATGCCGAATGCTTTAGCCAGGACATTAAACGGAGTGTATTGCGTATGGATTAAATGGCGATGCGTTATAATTTCATGTAGTTCTGCGTTCGTGATTATGATGCTGTTATTTATTATTTTCTGTGAATTTTAGAGACGATTTTGCTTGATGTATCGTCTGTATGTCGACTGTAGGCGGCGGGTGGAGGTGTGCTGAAGCAGACCAACTAGTCGAACTGGCTAGTCAATCTACTAACTGACAAGCACCGTCTTGCTTCCTCCCTTACGTCGATCGTTTTGACTTTTAGACCAGTTTCGCAAATTATCGCCGATAATGTCGGCGCAAGAGTTCGGAGCAGAAGTGTACCCCCTTTTTGGGGAACAACTCGTCACCTCTCGAGTGGCGAGAGATGGCCCGTTGTCGATCCCCGATTGAAGGTCGCCTTCAAGACACATAACAGTCACCTCTGGGGCTTCGGATATCTCACCTGCTACACGTGCATCAACATGCAGCAGATCCTTTCGATCAGAGTTCGCGTTCTATGCGAGTATTCGAACACGCTCTCAATGGGCTTTTCGTAACACGCACCAAGCCACAAGGTAGAACGCAGACCTCGTGTTTACACCCGCATCATTTCCTGTGATTACAAGCTGAGTTCTTTGTGGGGTCAACACAGTCCCGGACCATGGCACGGATGAATAGCTGGCAAAAGAAAAGGGAAAACAAACCTGCAATTGATGCCGGTCTTCAGCAGTATCTCCTTGAGGCGTGATGGGATCGAGTCAATGCAGACGCTAGTGCCCTTGGGTGGAGGTCACATTGTATGGCCAGCTCTCTCCCCCCTGGTGTTCATTCACCTGCGACCCAGCGTGAACGGCTGATCGCCAGGCCCCCTCACGACTGTCTCGATGTTATTACACGTTTCTCGACGCCCGGAGAGCGCGGCGCGTCCGCAACCGCTCTTCCAGCGCGTTACAGGTCTCCGCGTCGAGAGAGAGGGGGGCGACGTCGGCTAGTATACAACACACACACCGCGAGCAACAATAATGGCATCATTTCTGAATGACGGGAAAGGCGTGTACTGGGGCTGTCTGCCTTTCGTTCATAGTCACTTCAATTTCAAGTCTAATCCTACTCACGCGCCACGTCGTGCAGGGCCGCGTTTCAATAACACGGGTCCTCACCCTCAGTCCCTTCAAAGACGGACCGATCAGTGTCGGCTAGCTGAACCATGGACTAGACCTTTTTTGGAGCTTGGTTCAGCTCGTATCTGACTTGGAATTGCAGCGCGTTGTCGATTCTTTCGCCATGTTCTTCTTCCCGATCACAAAACAACATAAATCAACCAAAGTTATTCTACCACGTTGCTGCGTTCCTTTATCAATTTGTCGAAACTCGACTCCCTTTCACTCGCAAATTATTACCTTCCCAAACGTTGAACTCATGTTCAAACCGTAACTTTGACCCCTCTCCTAAACCCCCTCTCAGCCCCCTCGACCCCGTCATAACTTTATCCAATCCACCATTTAATCCCCCTCTCTTGCCCGTCCTCAGTATTCAAGTTCTTCACGTTTCGCCCCCTCCCATCACCCTCTTGTTCATCTTCCCCTCCGGGCCCTTCTGATCATCATTTACTTCATAATATGGCTAATGCTTCGTGTGCTATACTTCCGTTGTTGGGCCGCCACGACGACCAAGATCTTTCAAAATATAGCCCTTCCTCCATAACCACCCAGAACGTTGCTCCATACGATCCTTCAGGTTCGCCCTTGGCCGCGCACTCGTCTGTAACGACTGCCTCGTCCTCTCGCATGAGCCACGCATCTTACGAGTCGAGTCAGAGAGGCTCAGTCGGCGGCGACGATCGCGAGGTTGGCGCGTTGGGCCAGATCCCATGGGGTCCTGGTTCCCCCTCTATGCACGCGGCTGTTCCCCCGAGTGCTACCACTACTGTCGCTACTACTACGACTTCTTACGTCCAATCGGCTGCACATCCCCAAAGACCCTATGTGCCACCTCTCAATTTGCAACCCCACATGCTTTCCCTCTCATCCCCTGTGGCAGCTCCAGGAGACGCCATCCACGCGCCTTACAGCAACTATCAGTCGTACCCTGGATCTGAAGTAGGTTCTTACGCGTATTATCCCATCGCCAGTCCTGTTCTTTCCGAGCATCCACAGTATACATACCCTGGCCATCAGCATCCCGCGGTTGAGCATCAAAACCAGCAAATTGCCCCTCTCCCCAGCTCATACGGGTCTCCTCCGATGATGTACAGCTCCCCACTATCTCCTCACGCTCAGACTGCTGTTTACGCACATGCTCACCAGATGGCAAGGCGGCCCTCGTTGGGCATGTTCTACCCGTACGACTATACTCCGCCTACACCACCGATGCAATCGCCCATTGCTCCATATTCCTACCACCCGACGACAGCGGCCCCGCTTCTCTCGATGGTCATGTCTCCTCCGCCACAGCCTACGACCGCCAACATGAACCCAGCTGCGCATTACCAACAGCATCAACCACACCATCATCACCAACAACCACAAGCGCCACTCTCGATGCCCACTCCTCAAACTACCCTAGGAGGTGCGGCTGCTCAGGCTCGGCAGGTATGTCACTTCCTTTCAATATAGCGATCCTTTGACAGCGGGGGGCTGACATTCATGTTCCTGAAAATTTTACTATTTGACCTGATTCGCCCTCGTTTTCCATTTGGCCATTCCTTTTCCTGCTGCTAATTCATCTCTTTGGGGTACTTCAAATGTGCTATTGCAGCCTCGACCAATCGTCTCTAGTCCGCTCCGCCCTTTGGCTGTTGGCCCAGCGTCCTCGGCTGGCCAATTGCAAACCACCTTCAAGTCCGGCACCACTAATTCGAACGTCAATCGACGCAATAATAACAACGGCAATAGCGTATCGACACTTTACTCGACTTCTGGCGCCAGCCTAGCCTCATCGACTTCTTCGGGTTTGGGTCGAGCGTCCAGCGGCCGCCAGCCCCTTCAACGCACGAATACGATCACTATTGCCTCTGGTAATGCGAACGGCAGTGGTTCTAACACGCCCCTACTCTCGGAATTCAAAGGACAAAAGTTCAAGCGGTACGAGCTCAGGGTACGTTTTACCTTTTTTCCTTCGTTCCCTCTTGTTCGTTGTTCCTTGTTTCGAGACGGTTCATAACGCCGCTCAAACCTCCAACGTCATTCTCGCTATTTCTCATTATAAACGTCATACTAACTTAATCTCCTTCTAAATTGCATCATTTTGTATCTCGGCCTACCTTGGCTTAATCCCCACGCCGATCCCTTGATTTTGATTACCAGGACATCATTGGCCACATCGTCGAATTCAGTACCGACCAGCACGGATCACGTTTCATTCAACAAAAGTTCGATTCTGCCACGCAAGATGAACGCCAAACCATCTTCGATGAGATTGTTCCAGCGGGACACGGCCTACCATTGATGAGGGACGTCTTTGGCAACTATGTACGTTATCTCCTTATCATTCCTTCACAATTCCCTTCTTCTTTTTTCTTCCCCGGTGCCTTTATTGGTCTATCAGATTTGAGACACGCCGTTCTAACCCGGGTTCTATCTATAGGTCATCCAGAAGATGCTAGAGTACGGGTCAGCTCTTCACAGGACAATGTTGTGTGGCGTGATGGAAGGAAATATCCTTCATTTATCATTGGACATGTACGGGTGTCGTGTGGTGCAAAAGGTGCGTAAGCCGCCCCGTCCCCCTTTTTCCCGCCCTTTCAGGGACGATCCTCTGACGATCATATATCTGCAGGCGATCGAATGTATCACCCTCCAACAACAGTCGAATATCGTCGCGGAACTCAATGGACACATTCTTCAATGCGTCAAAGACGCTAACGGCAATCATGTTAGTAGCACGATTCGTCTATCACTTCCCATTTATCCGCCTTTCCGCTATACCCTAGTCTCCCCCCTGTTCTTGATTCTCTTGTGCTCCGTTACCCGATCACTACTCCCACGCCAATTCAGATAATGATACTAACTTTATTTACCTTTCTAGGTCATTCAAAAGATGTTGGAACGTGTAGCAGCTGAACGAATTACGTTCATTAACGCGTTCACGGACAACGTGTACAATCTCGCGACTCATCCCTACGGCTGCCGAGTCCTCCAACGTTGTTTCGAGTATTCGTCGCAAGAACAAACGAAGCCTCTCATGGAGGAGATTCATCAGAATGCAATGGCATTGATGCAGGATCAGTTCGGGGTACGTCCTTTTTCGTCTTCTTTTCCGAGTTTCATCTACACGTTACTTATTAATTTCTTTAATTTTTACAGAACTACGTGATCCAATTCGTCCTGGAAAAGGGTACCCCCCAGAACCGCGACCGCCTTATCGATGCGCTCCGCGGCCACCTTCTCATCATGGCCAAACACAAGTTCGCATCTAACGTGTGCGAGAAGGCATTTGCGGTGGCGGACTCTCACCGCATGCGCCTCTACGTCGAGGAGATGATCACCCCTGACGCTAATGGCGTGACCCCCGTGACAACCATGATGAAGGATCAGTATGCCAACTACGTACTCCAGAAGGCAATCAACCTCGTCGAAGGCGATCTCCTCGATTCCCTCGTCAACTTTGTCCTCCCTCAGTTGGTCAGCATGAGGCGCAACCCCGCCATGTTCAATATCAAGCAGCTCGCTAGCATCGAGAAGCTACTCAAGGAGAAGGGCGTCGGCGTTGAGTCCTTCCAGCTTCATCTCCCCGCTCAAGTGTTAAAGGAGTCCGAAGAGGGAGGTATCTCCTCAGGAGATAGCGCGCCGACATCCGGCACACCCACCCCATAGACTGCACCTACAGTGCACCAAAGGGCCGCATACATGCCTACCGGGAGGGCAGTCGTTTCACTCGGAGTTGTGCTCCTGATTGACTGCGTCCACGGCCCGATTACCTCCATTCCCAATCTACCTCCTTACGCTTCCGTCTAATTGTCTCAGTGTCTTCTGCGTACCGTCGTGCACTTCTCTCGTCGTCTTCCAGTTTCCCTTTTTTGGCTCTCGAACTCTTTCTCTTCGTCTCGCCCCACGAACACTTACCTACTCTCCCATAATCAAACATTTTCATTCCTCTCTATTACTGCTACCAACGAATGACTCGTTCCTCCTATGCCATAGCGCGCCTCTTGTCTCGAGCAATTGTCGCGCTATCCTATGCCCACTAAGTTTCGCTATGCAAACCAATCTCTTCCACTACCTCCGTTTCTCTCTCTCATCCTGCAAGCAATAGCCACATGTCCCTCAAAGGACACTGCTATGTGCTTGGCAACGACCTTTCCATTTTCTTCATGCGTCTTCCTGTTATCCTGTCAGACCTACCCTTTCCCAACTAC